TTGTACAGACCAAAGGTAACTTTGTTTTTTGGATTAGGTTAACATGAGTGCATGTGAGCCGCATTCTTGTAACTTCTGTATTGTTAGCCAGGCATGGCTGAAAGGTCAATATAATAAATTTATATAAATGTTATGAGATTTAAGCTATTTCGTCTAAACATTTATGTTTTCATGTTATAATTTGTGTTCATTCTGGAATGAAAGAGACAAAATTTATATTTATTTCCAAATTTTTTGTGGTGGTTGCGAGATCGGTCAAATCTACCAAACTCGTACAGAGGTTAATTACTGAAAATAACTTATGAAATAAAAAGTTTTTTCTTAAGAAATGTCTGATTACTATATGGACATTATAAACATTTTGCATGTGAAATTTCAAAATTTTCTGATGCATAAAAGTGTTTTTATTCTTAAAATGAATATTACTTTGCATCACAGATAGGCAACATGTGAAAAGAAAAAAAAAAGACATGAGAAAAACATTGCTTTACAAACCTTAAGACTTAATAAAAAAAAAATTATATTTTGCATATGAAAGTATTGTAATGTTTACAGATAATCTGCCAAATTTCGTTAACATTTGCTTACTAATTTAAAAGTCATAGCATGTAAACTATAATAAGCACAAAATGGTTATGAGGCTGGTCCCAGGGATCGAGCCTGTGCTGAAAGAGTTAAAATTGTGTATAAGTTATGAACAACTGTGATTTGATTAAGTACTGAAATTTTACAGGATATATAGGAACTTCATGTTGTAGGTCTTATACAGATTCACAATATATAGGTCTGTTCTTTCTGATCAGTATCATATTTGACGGTATTGACTGCATATGCTTGTTTTTTATAATTTCAGGGTGGTGTGTACTCAATTCCCTCCAGAAATGACCCAAATGTTATTGGTTCTTCAGTCTCCACAGCATGAGGTAAGTAATGTTATTTCATTTTTCCCCAGACTTGTAGTTATTTTCATTTTTACTCATTTGTACAATTTTTGTATGATTTATCATCAGTACTGTTAGTGTGTTAACTCTGCTCCTTTTAGTGTAACATGACTTCTATACTGTTCTTTATTAACATTGCTGTCGATATGTTACATAATAAAATGGGAAGTATACCCATTATCAAATTTCTTTCTTTATGTATATTTTTGTGCCCACATTACCCCCATGAAATTTCGTTGAAAACCAGAAAATGATCTGAAAATTGCTTTTAATCTTGTATATAATTCAATCATGAAAGTGTCACATATCACAAACCAGGTATACTAAGTGTTCAATTCCACTTTATTATTGTTTGATTCATCAGGAATTTTATCAGTGATCATTGCAGCATCCTGAACACCTTCAGGTATGGAAGCTGGTCTTGCGAGCCAGTATTCCTTGCTATTTGAGTCATAAGAACAAATTTACTAATGCTATGAGTGCACAGCACCCGCACTATTCATGACTGCATGGCAGAAGACAGTATTAGGCTAGTATAGGTAGGTCACTCTGTCATATTGAATCCAGTACACCTTACTTTATCCATATCAGGACTGAATCTTTGCATGGAGAGAACCGTCACTTACTACTGACCCACACATCATACTGGCTATCATCAAATAGATGTTGTATGTATGATACCACTTGCTTCTGTTGGTATACAGTCACCAAGTGTCAATGACCACAGACAATCTTCAGACAACTGTTGAAAAGTCTAAGCTATATTATCTACTTCAGTTTTTTTTCAGCATTGACCCATTTTGTTCCAAACCTTTAAACTCTACAGTTTGTTTGAATGTGTTGGGTTGTTTCATCAGTATGCATTGTGTGAAAGCGTGTTTTTTTGTTTTTTTTTATGAAAGTAGACTGAGACAACTGCAAAGAGCGCTGAAAATTTGCACATAATTCCCTATATGTCCAGTGTCTTCCATTATTTTATGTGGCCATTTAGTACTTCTACCACCCTTTGCACTTTTATAACAAGCCATAAAAGGTTGGGAAAAGTTTTGGAAAGTCTGATAACAGATGCTATGCAAAGTCATTTAACAAAGTTTAGAATTTTATTGGATAGTCCAAATGTTTTCACTAAGGGAAAATCTTGCCTTACTAATCTTTTAACATTTTTTGAAAAGGTTACTGCTTATGTAGATGGCTGTAAGGGTGTAGGTTTGATGTATCTGGATTTTCAGAAAGCCTTTGACAAGATGCCATATAAAAGGGCTGTAAAAAATAAAAGATCTCTTTAGGTTGAGGGATAAGCTGGATAGAAGAGTAGCTAGATGGAAGAAAGCAGAGGGTTGTTATGAATGGAGTTCAGTCACAAGTGGGGGTACCTCAGGGCTCAGTCTTAGGACCTTTGTTCATTTTGATTTACATCAATGATGTAGATGAAGGAATGGTCAATAAATTGCTTAAATTTGCTGATCTGTGCTTTACAAAAGGATTAGTTAGATCATTTAGTGAGTTGGGCAAATAAATGGCAGATGGGTTTTAATTATAATAAATGCAAGATAATGCATGTGGGTTAACATAATTTGAATTATGAGTATAATTTGGATGGGAATAACCATAACAGCTTCATGGAAGGAAGGGATCTTGGTTTAATGGTTGATCAGTCTCTTAAGCCATCTGAACAGTGTGCTGTTGCTAGTGGTAGGGCAAATAGGATTTTAGGTTGTATCTACAGAAATATTGAATAAAAGTTTAAAGAGGTTATAATTTCATTGTATAGGTCACTGGTTAGGCCACACTTGTAGTTTTGTGTTCAGTCTTGGGTTCCTTACCTTAGGAAGGACATTGAATTGTTGGAAAGGGTTCAAAGTAGGGTTACTAGAATTGTGCCTGGAATGGAGAGGTTATCATTTAAGGAGAGATTAAGATATCTGAAATTGTTTTCTATTAAAAAAAAGAAGAGTTAGAGGGGATCTGATTGAGGTATTGATTGTAAAAGGAATTGATAGTGTTGATGCATCATCTTTTGTTTCCATACTCGATTGAGAGAATAGTAGGATTAGGAGACATAAATATAAATTTTAGCAAGGTAGGTGTCATCTTCAACTGATACAGTTTTATTTTTCTAACAGCGTGATTGACCTCTGGAATGGGTTTGCTTCAGATGTTGGGGAGGCAGTAAATTTAAGAGAAAACTTGATAACTTTATGAATGATAAGTGTTGGCTTTAAGATTTTTATTTTACATTATTTATTTGATAGTTTTAGTTTAGTTTAGAGGATAGGGCAGCCAAGATGGACCGGTAGGTCCCTTATTTTTCCTAAACATTATGTTATGTTAGTTTAAAATCAGCTCAAGTCTCATGCGTCAGAAATAAAAAAAATCATAAAATAATGGATAGGATGAAGAACATGACGTTTCATAGTTCCTAATTTTATCTTTAGCATAAACACTTCAAAAATAATTAACAGTGTTTCTAACCTAGGTTCTTCATCAGTTATTGCTTAAAATTCATTAATAAAAAGAGAGAAATAAAAATCCAGATGACAACAATATAATAGAATGAGTGATATAAACCTAATTGCCATGCATGAAATAGTAAATATATGTCATTAAAGACAACCCATCAGCTTTTACTAATTAAGTCACCCATTATTTATACAGTGATTGATCTAGGCCACGATATTTTAAATGACATTTTGGGTCCCAGTACTAACTGTTTTGGGAACAATCTTCAATTTTTGAGACAATCAGGAATATGAATGCAATATTGTGATTCATGTTATACATATTGTTTTATTTCTTTGTGTTCTCATTAGTTTTTTCTTTTATATGTAAAATAAATAAATAAATAAAGTTATCAAAAACTGGTTTGTGATTTTACTTGTAATTACCATACCCTATAATGAGTGATATACATCACAACACCCTTAACAAAAATACAGTTATTTAGAACAACTGTCGTTTTAAATATTGTTTGAATGTGGGGGATGTGTTATTGAACAAGAAAACTTGCTGGTTGAACATCATGTTGAAATACAACGATTTTATTGACCTATGAGATCTCCAGTTCTTTCAAAATGTTTTTGTTAATTGCAATTGGAGCAGTAAACTGAGAAAACATTTTAAAATAATGGAATGAAATCATGTGGGAAAATGACAAGATATACACCATTGTTGTTCTTTGCTTGAATAAGTGTTTTCTCAGTTGTTAATGTTATTACTAGAGTGTTTTGTACATTGTTACTGCATTTATTTTTGTAGAATATAATAAATTAGTAGTTAATTAATTTTGGTGGAATTCATGTTTTCTTAAAATCAATAAATTAGGTACTTGAAAATAACACTTTGGTCCTGGACTTTTTTTTCTGTTAGTCTTTTCAAACCATGTACATGGTTTTCTACCTCAAATAGAACAACAGTCTGCTAAGTATGTTGTTTTGGCACATAACACATTTGACATTACTGCTGCCTGTTGGTTTGATGTTCAGTCTTATATGCTGCAGCCTTGTATAGTCTGTTTTGCTTGATGCAATTTCACTTTTATCTGAACAGATGAAATGTGTTTGAAATAACAGTACTGCTGGTGGCACTTAGCATAAATGACACCATCTTCTACAGGAGTATTCCTGTCTTTGGAGATATTTTAGTGTAACTATGTGATTAGCTTTACTGAGTAAGTTGTGATTTCATTAACTTATACATAGGATGAACATAAGATTAGTGTAGATTTGTTTAATGGTTATGGTTACATTTTGCATGTTACACATTGACATTACAAATTAAAAGGTTAAAACTTTAAAATATGAGAAAAGATAGTTCTTAACACTGGCATAAACAATTACTTTATGATAAAATAACTAGCACCATCTTTAAATAATATCATTTGATGTTTATCATGTTTTATAATTATAAACAACATGCTGAAGACTGAAGGTGGCACTCATAAAATAAATGCAAAGTAGGAAATTGTGCAGGTTGACCTAAACAGGATTTGATACAAGTGGTGAAAAACAGTGGGAAATTAAGCATGTGGCAATAGACTAGTTCTTTTCTGCAAATATACTTTGTAGTAATTCCTTTAATGGTGAAACATCTTCAATAGGAAATTTGTGCCATCACTTTTAGGCAGAATTCCAATCTTAAAGACCCTTGCCTTTTCTCAAACTAAAAGAGAATTGCAATGTGTGTGTTATATATATACATATGTATAATATCTAACACCAATTGATTCAATCTATAATGATAAAAGGCCATGTCTGTCTTTGTGTATGTGTGACCACCATAACTCCAAGAGGAAAGAACACAGAAACCTGAAATTTTGCACACATACTAAGTGGACCTTGAGATTGTGCACCTGGGTTTATTACTTATTCACATGTGTGCATGTGTGCATCTTTTTGAGATGTAAGCAAGCCAAAATCCACATAGGAATATGTGACCACCATTGCTCCAAGAGGAAAAAACCTAGAAACCTGAAATTCCAAAACATATTTACCCTCCTCTGACACATTAGCTATTCCTCGACGTTGGCTTTGCCTATCTTAGCATTGGTTTCGCATGCTCCATTCTTTTATACCCACTTAAATGCCCTAGGCAATATATAACTTGCAAATTTCTCCACCTGCATCAATGTGTCCTCTATCCTGACACTGTATATAAGCACCTCAGTCAGATAATGTAATCACTTTTTCTCGACAAAGTGTTGGTCACAGTTTTGTCTGACTAAGTGCTGTGGTTCGTTCTGATATGGATTGCGGTTTTTGCATTGTCTTGTGGATTTCCATATAATTATAACTTCCTTAAAAAAATTGAATGTGATGTTTGTGGTATGAATTCCCATACACTACCGTTGTCAGAGAGGGGGTAATCTCAGTTGAAGCTGTTCATATTTTGATCCGTTGGGAGATGGAAACATATATTCGGTCCATGGGTGTTTTTCTCCTGGGGCCTCTGAAGTTGCTTTTTTTGTTGATCCTGGTTATTCATGA